AAAAAAAAAAAAAAAAAAAAAAAAAAAAAAAAAAAAAAAAAAAAAAAAAAAAATGAAAAATAATCTCTTGGACGTTTGGGCCCGTACAAATGCGTCTCGTCATCATCATACCTGGCGGTACTCTTGAGGTGGTGGGCCCCCTTGTGCCGAGCCACGTGCTCGACCCACCAGACCGCCATCTCCTTGGCGTCCATCGGCGTGTCCTTCATCAGCAGGCTCCTCGTTTTAGCTGCATCCCTGTACGGATTCTTACCACCCGCGGCCACCTTGACCACGTTCTCCCGCAGCTCCGATATCGTCAGACTCGCCAAATCCATCACTAGCGCGTAGCCCAGCTTTTCTATACACCCAACCAACGGACAAACCCGTCAATATATATGTACACACATGTACAACACAGGTATATCATATATAGTATAGACGCACCTGCTTGGGCGGCGTTGCCGTCGTGGTCGCAAAAGACGGGCAGGACGAGGGTGGGCGCCGCGTGGTAGGCGGCCTCGTGTAGGGACAGCAAACCCCCGTGGGAGACGAAGGCGCGTAGCTTGGGATGGCCGAGGAGCTCCTGTTGGGGCCACCAGGCGGCCGTTCTCACGTTGCTCGGTAGGTTCTCGATCTTGCCGCCCTCCCACTTCCACACGACGTTGTACGGTAGGGTCGAGAACACGGCGACGAAGGTCTTGCGCAGGGCCTCCGGCATACCCGAGGCCTTCACCGACGAGCCCATCGACACGAAGATGAAACCTACGTGGGATATTGTACAGAATGGGGGTTATCGTTATCCCGCGCGCGTCGGAGGGTTGGGTAAAATTTGGGCGAACCTCGGCTCAAGAAGGCGTCGAGCTCCGTGCTGAGTGTCATCGGGGGTCTGCAGTGTATGCAGGCGACGTTGACCACGTTGGCCAGGTAGGGCGCGGAGTCGGAGACCGAGTAGTGGTTGTTCTGCAGCGTCAGCGGTACTTCGGACACCAGGTCTCGGACGTCGGGCACCTGATCACCTGGTACACACACGTACATATACATATATACAATGAGCAAGTAGGAGAGCCACGGGCCCGGAATACAAATGAATCGGCGAGGAATTTTTCGCTCCGCGCCGGGCGAAAGTGAGCCAATAGTTGGCGCGCGATTCGTTGGTATACGTGCGACGGGAATCGGCAATGAGATCGGACAACCGTGCGGTCGTTTGTATACCGAGGTAAGTATACAATTAGAAAACCCCGCGTGTGCCTTTTCACACCCGAAAGTCTATTATATAATCATACATGATGATATTGGAGTGCCAACAACTAACATTTCATTCTTTGAAGTGGCCAAAGTCCTGCAATTTTTTTTTTTGTTCTTTTCGCGGTGTCTGTTATTTTTAGTTTAAAAACATTCAACTCGTAGTTTATGATGGTGTATAGCTGGACTTACCCAAGTACTTGCGCAAAGTGGGCTGGATGAAGCCGGTCACCATGATCCAGTACATGACCTCGAGGGCCATGAGGTAGCCGGCGTTGAGCAGCCTCTGGGCAAAGTTCATGTCTTGGGTGAGAGCCTTCCCAAAGTAGGGTCGTATGGCCCAGGGTGACGGGTTGCCCTGCCTGGCGATCGAGCCGCTGTACAGGGCCACCTGCGGCGATATACATTAAAATCGGCACAAATATCACCGGTGGGGAAAAAAAAACAAACAAGTATAGGTACATGTTTTGTTTCCCTCAATAAAACGTAAACTCACCGTGTTGAGCATGACAGTGGGCACCTGTTGGCCGTGGAGCAGCCCGAGTAGGCACTCGGGATACGCGCCGTCGAGCACGACCACGTCCCACCGGGCTCGCAAGCTCCCCTCGGGCCTCTGGATCTCGCGCACGGAAAAGGGATCCTGTAGCAGGGCCTCGCACGCCTCCCAGCCGTAACGCATCGCGTCCCACGGCGACAGGGGCAACTCGTCCCGAAACCTCGAGCCCACCAGGTCCCACTCGGACGTGTAATTGCCCACGTACACCTACTCGGGAACAACAACGACATTGTACTGTGTGTGAATGGCGACGCGTTTGAAAATGGCAAAAATGGCACCCGTACCTCTAGCTTCGGGGGTACGAGTTCGCGTAGGCCGCTGTTGGCCGCCGGGCCGGGAAAGGCGCTGGCCAGAGTGACGTTGTGGCCGCGCCGGGCCAGAGCCGTGCCCAGCGCGACAAAGGGCACGGTGTGCGAGCGCGTCCCGCCCATCGTGGCCAACAGCACCGTGTGACCGCTAACTCGGCTCGCCACGACTACCAACAGTAGCACCAACACCACCATCCTTGGGGCACCGCACCTCGTCCGACGAGCCATGCTCGGTGTCTCTGGTCCTGTGTCCGCTCTCGCCCCGGGCGAGCTACGTCTCGGCCATGGCTCGGCCGTCCCCACGTATTTATCCACCTCGTGCCGTATATACACTCGCGATAATCGCGCGATTAGCTGATTTGCGTAAAAACCGAGTGAACGAGCGGTGGAAGGGGGATGAAAAAAAGGAAGAGGAGATGCTAATTGATTCGGCTGTCGGTGGTCAATGGGTTGGCGCGAGCCACGAAAAACGAGCCGTTCGTTACCGAGTCGGGCTTTGTATGCGCGATCGGCCCGTGGCTCCGAGATTTATGCCACCGGCAACAGTCAGCGTCGTCTTTATTATCATTATCCCCATCATCGTGATTATCGTAGTCGTCGCCAACATCGTTTTCCCACACTTGTACATGTGTGCTCTCTAGCGCTTCTTCTCCATCGTCCTCATCTTCTTCTTCTTTTCTCTATTGGCTGGTAATGCGTATATATAGTGGCGGCTGTCTTGTACACGACCGCACCGAATTTGAATATAATATATGGTCGCGAGTCAAAGCGGCTCTTTACTGATTTACCTTTTTCACGAAAGGACGCTCGGTGCACTTTAACTGCTGAAACATATACTTGACGCGCGTCAAAAGTAACAAAAAAAAAAAAAGGAGACCTGCACATTTCAAGGACAAAACAGGCCGGTGTCTCAATAGCCGTCCCGCGAAACCGGCAATCCGTCATTTGTCATTATGATTATCGTTTCGGGCTCGCGTGTAACTAGAGGTTGTACGGCAATGCACACAGTATACAGGGTACACAAGTATCGCCGTTTGGTCTTCAAAAGAGAAAACTATTGCCGCAACCGCGTGAAAGTGATATAGCCTCCCGCAAGAAAGCACGCGCTCCCTGATCCGTGCACCCGGAGTGCCTATAATATGCACACAGATGATTCCACGCTGTATATACTAGACGAGCTTCTTTGTACCACTATTGTTGCACGCCAATCACTGTATACACCGATGTATATCTCTCTGCGTGTTTTCTTGTTTACATACACACTTCGATCGGTCCGGCAACACTTTTTTTTTTTTTTTTTTTTTTTTTTTGCTGCACTCGGGAGAATAAGTTGCGAAAGCACAGCGAGTCGGCGCGAGGGGAAACAAGTGCGGCGTCTCGTCCGGTTATTCCATAAAACTTTCACTCGCGCGTTTGATCGGCCGATGCATGCACCGCCGGTGGTTCGGTTCGCGCGCCGCGATCGGCTTCGATTACGGGTAATGAGCCGAATAGAGAGAGAGAGAAACGCGCAATAACACAACACCGTGATTCAGCTTCAATGACGGTTGGCAAAATGAACGCGCGTTGTTCGCGTCGACAGGAGTTTTTTTTTTTTTTTTTTTTTTTTTTTTTATCCAAAAATCGGTTCGAGGATCGGTGATGGGGGGAAAATCGGTGTTTGGGCGCGCGCGCGCGCGTTCACGCGAGCTACTTGCGAGGCGGCACTGCACTGAAAGGGGGACCCATACTCGCGGGCAGCGGTGTACCTGCAGGTGCTATATACCTCGCGATCCGCTGGGCTGGCCACCTTTTGAGCGTGAAAGTCCGCCCGGCCGAGCGATGGATTGTGTATACACACGTATACATGTGCAGCCACGCCGGATCAGCTGCGTGTATCATTGTATATATGCCGCGGTGGTTACAGTGCCCCTCCCCCTCCCCCTTATAAAAGAAAAAGAGAGAGCTCTCACTCTCAACTTGAATCTCTTTCTTGGTCGCACTTGTACGGGTGTACGTTTATGGGTACCTCACTTGTAAAATGTTATCCCGCTTGGAGAAAGTTATTTTTTCTTCGCTTCCGTCTGTACTTGTAGCTTTTGCGTGCACGCGAGGAATCGGCGATGCTACCGGGGCGTGTTTTCGTTATCGCACGCGGAAATTGACTTTTTTTTCATACCGATTCCTGTTGGTTCTCCCGATTTTGGCCCGTCAATCTATACCGATTTTTTACAAGCGGCGTCTAATAGCCTACTTTTTACGCTTCATCCGTTTGGTTTTATCGTTCGCTTTCTTTTTTCGCCTCCTTTGCTTTTCGGTATCCGTATATTATGTACATATAGCCGGGGTATGGGTACTTGTGGTTTTTGTCGGCTTTTACGTTTTTTCGCAATAGTGGTAAAAGTTTCGTCAAATTTGTTTTTTTTCACCGATCTCTGCGCATCGCTGAGCTTGGGACGAAAGACATACTATTTCGTTGACCGAAAGTCGATGAAAATGATTTTTCGAGGAATGTTTTATTTTTCTCCGGGTTCGTGATGGTATCGTGTAATTTATGGGGAAAATCGAGGCCACGGTTTTTCGAGGAGAGGCTGGAGTGCGCATCGAGATTGGGCACCGTTTTAGGGGGAATCTCGTGATGCAAGCCGGTGCAATCGACTTTTACTTTTGATCTAGTTTCTACTTTTTTTACTGGGAAGCTTGTGTGGTGTGACATATTCGACAAAAGGCCAAATTTTCTCCTCCATTATCCTGCGTTGAGAAAAAATAAAAAAAAGAGTTTTTCTTCGCGACCTCGTTCCTGTATAATCGATGCCACGATAAAAATGAGAAAGGTACACCGAAGGTTCGCCTCGATGGAAATTTTTTATTTATTTTGCCTTTCAATGTGAAAAAAAAAAAACTAAAAAACAAAAAATATATATACGTTACATACACGTTCAAGGCTTGTTTTTCAAGTGGTCAAAAACTTGAAAGATGGTAGTCAGGCAGACAAGTGCGTCCACTTTGTAACACCGTCTAGTCATATTTTCACTCTTGTGTGACTCAATGGTTGATTCCGTTGTTTCGTTCGATTGCATCAATGTCAAAAATTTTGACTTTGTTGTCTTTGCCTCCCGTTTGATTCAAGTAATCTTGAAAATAATTATGAAGTCAAATCAAATACTTGACTGAAAAATAAACATAACACTTGCCTATGGAAATGTAAAATGGTGAGAATTTTGCCTTCGTGCTCTAACAAACGGAGACACTCAATGTGTATGTATACATGTATGTTAGAAGACACGAGTATGGTAATGCTGTTGATGAAAGCGTCGCAATTCCTGGTATTTCAAAATTGCCTATAAATTGCCTATAAATTAAAGTTAAGTAAAAATGTATATCTTTTATGTACTTTTTGACAAAATTTACATAGAATCTACGTGAAATTCAAGGTTATTGGCAATACACCGATCAGCATGACTACATGTGTAAGTATGGAGCTCAGCCAATGTTTGGAATTTTGATCTGTCAAATCATATTGGTAATAATCTATTATTTAACAATACTAGCTATAGCACCGTTTTTGCTAAAAGTGTTTTTTTTTTTTACCAAAAGCACCGATGCATTGAAAATTTTATCACGTGGAAACCTTTGATATAATTATTGTAAAGAAAAAACTGTATTTCGTAGGAGTAACATAAAAAAACAAAATGGGCTAACCTTATTCCGATAATTCGTGTTTTTGAAAAAATTTCGCTTTTATCATGGCATTATGCTAATTTTTTAAAAACTTTTTACGCTACACTACCCAAAAAACTTTCCCCGTGAGATGCCTTTTCGTGTACTTTAATGTATACACTAATGGTACAAGTACGTGACGTTTTAATTTCATCGACAAACGTTTGACACTTAAATTACACGTGACAAATATTTTGATACAGAATCAAGTGGTCAAATAGTCGAATCGTTAATTTTATATTCTCATATGGCTGGTGTAGCAGTTTCGTTGTGAATAAGCGTACAGAGCTCGTCTCAGCAAAATAAGCGGTCGGATTACCGTAATCCTGTCAATCTCGTGGTAATTTTACTTTTTCGATTAGTCGGATTACAGTGTACCAATGCGGTTGGCGAACATATTATGTTTGCATCTAACTCGATTGCATTGCAAAATTCTCATTTGCGATCCGAGTAGTAAGTATTACAGTAATGGAAAAGAATGCAACGCAAGTTGTCAAAAATGGCACTATAGAGTTGTGCCCAAGAATTTTTCAGCCATAATATAGTTTATATCTCGCGTAATTTAGGAAAATGTATTGAAAAAATTCTATAAACAATAAATTTCGTCAATCTCGTTTCGCACATCGAAATATTTTACGTTTCGTTTAATGACTCATTTATCAAATTTACATAGCCACATCATCAAATATGATGGCTATAACATACAGACGACGGCAGTAGATAAGTGTATTCATCTGCGACTAGTCCTTTATTTAATCTCTCTAGGGGTACCTCGGTAAATAAGAGTATCTTTTTTTTTCCTTGAACGGCTATTATTTGAAAGATCATCATCGTACCAAAGGATGGAATTTCTTGAAATATACCATACATCGGAATGTACGTATATGCAATGTCGAATCAAGTAGATGAAAAAAAAAAAAAATAGTGGGATTAATAAACCGTAAAAAAATTCTTTCTTTCAGTTTTTAAATCCATAAATCACCCGTTGCGGTGTACGGATCGATGAAAATTCGATTCCCAAGTACGCAAGTATATATACAGAAACGTATAATACCAACTTGTTAGGAATTCGTGAAATACCAGTTTTTGATCCCGGATATAGGTACATATACGTATACGCGATAGAATGTAATAGTTGCCGGTCGTATACCCGCCGAAGATTTCGACATTGCCGTTAACACAAGGTAGAGAGAGAGAGAAAACGCAAGATTGAAATAAAAGAGGTAAGAAAAAGAAAAAAGAAAAAAGAAATCCATGTAACCGCACAGGAAAGAGTGAAGGAGATGAATAGAGTGCGCGCTGATGAGAAAATAGAAGGAAAGAAGAGCAAAAAAAAAAAGAACAACGAAAGAACATCGGTTGTCTGTATGGAGTTCGTTAGAAAGGGGTTGGGGGAGATGCAAAGAACGAAAGAAAGGAGGAGCAGAGCGCAGGTGGCTCTGACAGATTTTTCGGGCCCCCACTTCCTTTAAGTTTTACCGGTATAATGGGCGCGCGTGCAGTGTACGCTGGACGCATTTATACCAAAGGAAAAGCATATATATATATTTTATATATAGGAGGTACGGCCAACCACATCTCGAATAATAAGCTGCAGGAGAGGCTGGCTCGCAGCAGCAACAGCTGCAGACACATAAATATACATATGTCCTCATTGTATGTATTGTACATCTATGGATAAATGTGTACGCATATACATATAACCGGTAGGATCAGTCTCCATCTGAGCTCATTACTTATATACTTTTCCATATATCTACCGGTCGCACCTTTCTTTTTTCAATATCTCGGTAAATATACATGTGTAGGCATATATGCACGCGCGTACATAATTATACGCTCTCCGTATCATGCATGCGTGCAATACTATACGTATAAGGAGAGATACAGTGTGCGGGTATTACCGATTTTTTTATCTTAAAATACGATGATATTGAGTTTCACGTGTTCTCTTACATGTAGAAGATTTTCTTTGAAACGATAAAGGTGGATGGTACAGCAAGCAATAAATAACGAATAAAACACTGTTTGGGCTCGTTGTTAACGATATTAAGTGCCAATCCTGTCACTTTAATTTATATTGTAATACTAGTTAAGCACAAATACGATTTTCATAGATAAAAATCAGTGAAAATCGGCGAAAATCGGTAAAGATCGGTAAAGATCGGTAAATCAAAAACACCGCAATTCTTTCCTCACGCTCCACTGAACAATCTCAAACCCATTCACGGATAAGAATAATAATAACAATAAGATTGCAGAGGCCAGGAAGAGAGAGAGAGAGACGGAGCTTCGAGATGTATCGACGAGCGCGAGCGCGCCAACAACGAAACGTCGAGGTCGTCGAGGGATCGAGGTTTGCACTCCATAGTTTGGTATACTCCCCGTAAACTGGAGTCGAGATAAATAGGTACAGTGCAGTATTCGCGCAGTATTGTTTGGAGTTTGGAGCCCTAGACAGCGCAGACGGTCGGTCTGCACTTATAGTAGGTACATACATTAGCTTGGCTCTAGTTACAATCCCCGTAAAAAACAGCGTCGGGCATACAATTTCGTTAAACCAACTGACAAGCGTAACATCGGTACGGAAATACAGTGCCATCAACTGTACGGGACGTGCGTTTAAAAAAGCAAAAAAAAAAAAAAACAAAGGGTCGGTCGTCCGGCCCGGGCGTTGTTAAAAGTGAGTTCTAGGTGGTATATCCCAGGTATCGCGTCCTCGTGCTCTGGAGCCAGTGGCGTGGCCAAGCGAGCGGATGTCGCCCGCCAACTCGTAGGGGGCCGCGCTCGCGAGCACACACACCTACCTCGTCACCCGTGCATGGTGTTTCAATAACAGAGTGCGTTAAGTGTTAATTACCTTACCAAGTGTTGAAAAACCAGTGTGCAGTGTCTCTCTACCTTGTGAAAATAAATTACAGTGCATGTAGTGTGCCCCCCCCCCTTTCCTTCCTTTGATAGTGAGTGGATAAAATAATACCAAAGTTTATGTTAAATTAAAAAAAAAAAGTGAGAGTTCCGCAAGTGTACGTTCGAGTTCGGAGGCCCTTCTTCCTGGTCACATAAAAAAGCATCGGCCGACTCCTCGCCAACCTACGTTATACGCACCTCGTATTACTTGCGTACCCCATACGTACATATTCCATTGGATCGAATTATTTGGACTTCAATGAGCATAAACAACGTACAGGATACATATTTAAATATTGAATAGGACACGGTCTACATAATAATTGTCAGCTGCCACCCCAAAAAGGAGCGCTTCGAGTGACTCTCTTCTTTCGACCAATTGTCAACTAAAGTAGTGTACTATAGGTGGGTTATAATGCACGAGTACGAGCCTCAGGGGGCTGTGTGTGACATAATTTTTATGCATGTACCGTGGGGCAAACAATAACACTTGCTGAATCAAAAACGTAAGAAAAAAAAAAAAAATAATAATAACAATAAGATAGGAAATGAGCCACATTCGAATTTTTACGTGCGTTTATTCATTCCATGCTGCTTTGTTTATACGTGTGCATGATTGAAGACTTGAAAGCCCTGGTGATTTTCGTCCGTGTAGTAGTGGGTGCGCTTACCTGTAAAAAAAAAAAAAAAAAGTTTTAACAGTTTTGCTGCACCCATACACAACGGCACGAGCATTGTATTATAATTTTTACCCACATCAATCTCACATCTCGCTTCGTGGTCATAATACACACTGCACGTGTGTGACTCATTATAAATATACGAGCCCTCTCAGCTTTCAGCTGCAGCTGCATGCGTTGCAGTGAGTGTGTGTATGTTCATAGGCATACACACATGTATTTGTAGTGTGTATAGCTGAAAAGCACACACGCGTCAACGAAAGCTCACCACCAAAAAGACAAAAATCATTTTGCATACTGTTATTATTTACAATGGCACTATAAACCGGTATCTGCAGGTATTTCGGAAAGTCACCTTAAAAAAAAAAAAAGACGAACCGGCAATTTCGCAAAATGCAACAATCCCGTATTCATTGTTTAGTTTACTTATATGTATATGTTGTACGTAGGGAGCTCCGTTCAGTCATTTCGGAGCAGGAGGGTAATGGCCGGAGGGGGGCATCCATTTTCATTATGTATACAGGGCCGCGTATACCTATATATACAATACACATACACGCACATCATCACAGTGTACATGTACACCCACATATGAGCCAGCGCGCGTGCTCTTCGCGTCTGTCGCAGCTGCTGTTTCGGCCCTTTTTTTTTTTTTTTTTTGCCTCCTCGACTCCCAGCTCTGTCCATCTGTGCTGATGTATAAATTCATCCCTAACCGTTTCAAAATGTGTATGGTTAAAAAAAAAAAAAACTTACGCGCCATCATGCGTACCTAATTATTACACACTTCGCCGCGATCAATAATAAAATCTCTCTTTCTTCGATCCCCGTACGTTTACGCTTCAAATCATACATCATATTTTTTTTTGTTCTCTTTGTCGTACCATTTGATGTACGTACAAACATCATAATATACTTAAAGGGGCTCGCATGTCGCGGTACTTCCCCGCGGCCCGGCTAAATATTATCTTCTTCGGTGGTGCGCGTTTCCGCTCCCGGTCCTTTATTTATAAGTGTATAGTACTTTCACAGGCTTACATTCCATGGATTATATGTGCCATGTTACGTTATATTATCAACTTGTTCGTCAACTCCCACGCTCGTGCGTCCATGTAACCAGCAGCCGGTCACATGTGTACCGGCTGGCGCTTGACTCGAACCACGTGCTTACCTTCACTTTTTTTTTCTATTTCTTTTCCATGCTCCGTATATAGTCTTTTTTACTTACATTTTTTACAACTCGCGCTCGCTTTCGTCGCGCTGATTCTAGTGTACGGAATGGCTCTCGCAATTTTTTGTGCTTGACTTTGATTGTAGAACGCTACATACTTTTCTTTTCTCATTGAAAAAAAAAAAAAAAACAACATTACTATCCGCACAATCAAACCTTTGTATGTTTGCAACTGTGCATTCCGTTAGCGATGACTCACTCGGAAATTCGCATTGACTCTAATTGCGCATATATATATATCTGTGTGTGATGATTATGATGCTCTTGCCACACATATGTCTACATGTGCGCTGAATTCATTGACACTTCTTTACAGAGTATGTGGCACTGCGTGCAATTGTTCATTGAATCAGTTATTATCAAATACAAATAAGTATGGGTGGAATGTCGTGTACTGATTTGATTTGGGTTTAAAAACAAAAAAATACCTCGTACACCCTCGTACGGTAACGGATGTGTATAAATGTAACGTTATTATCAATTGAATACAAAAGTAGATTTGGGTTTAATTTCCGTTAAATTATTTAACCATAATTACATTATTTATAAGAGAAACCATAAGCTTCGCAAACTAAAATAAGTCGAGACAATAAACGTAAACGTTTTGATTTTGTTTTCAGATAATATTTCGACTCGATAGTTCACGAAACATTCAAAAATGGGGGAAAAATCTCCCTTAAGATGCGGGAGGCTGTGGAAACACGTTGTTTTTCTTCTCGTCTCATCGTCCTTCATGCTGGGTAAGTTGAAAAGAAAAAAAAAAAAAAACTTTTACTATATCATATCGAACGTATGAAAAATAAAGGAATCCAATGAACGTTTTCTTCCAGCGTTGGCCGAAGATGAGAGCATGGGCCCCATTTTCGTGAAAGAACCGCCTAATCGCATAGACTTTTCGAACGGCACTGGTGCCGTGATCGAATGCCAAGCGCGAGGCAACCCGCAGCCGGACATCATTTGGATCCGCTCGGACGGAACTGCTGTTGGCGACGTGCCGGGATTGCGCCAAGTGAGATATACAATTATTATTCGTGTCATCGGTTTACACTGTGAACCAGATTGTTTAATTTTCAATTTTTTCAGGTCCTTCCAAACGGTAATCTGGTATTTCCGCCATTCAGAGCCGAAGATTACCGCCAAGAAGTTCACGCGCAAGTTTACATCTGCCTGGCAAAAAATCCCGTCGGTTCTATTCACAGCCGAGACGTCAACGTTAGAGCCGGTAAGATTCACTCTGATGCTTCTCTTCGGCGGAAAAACACTCATCGCTCGCCAAACAGAACATTCACGTAAAAACGTCATACCTTATGAAAAAACAATTTTTTTTTTTCACAGCAGTCACTAAATGATGACTCACTGAGAATCGATTTTTTTTTTTTCCAAACAGTAGAACAATTGGGTAATTCAGTAAATTTTCTTAGATCATCGTGTGCCTTACTTGATCAAAAACGACGTAGCGTATCTAAAAAATTTTCAATTTACAGTTCAACTGGACGTTTTCAATGTAAAATTATACGTTCAAAATTACGTGAATGTTCTCCGGTTTGGTGGTGCACTCGACGAGTTCTAATAATAATTACATCACAATATGTGACAGGGACAAACAAATGTTTAAAAAATCATACAACCACTTCAATTTAATAGGTACACATGTATGGTAAAAAGACCAGGTAAACGGAAATTTCGTGTAGGAATGAACGATTAAAGAATAAATTATAAGCGTTGGTAAAACTAAAATTTGTATTATACATATATTGAAAGATTGTTTTTGTGTGTTCGCTTCATTCATATAGTCGTCTCGCAGTACTACGATACCGATGTGAACAAAGACTACGTGATCCGCGGCAACTCGATAGTGATTCGCTGTGTAGTGCCTTCGTTCGTAGCAGATTTCGTAACTGTGTTATCATGGCACACGGATCAAGGAGAAGAGTTCGTTAGTCATCCAGACGGCGAACAAGATTACGGTACTTCAATGGTTGTCGTGTGCAATCTTTGCGTAGCGAATATTGTAAAAACTGGGACAGAAGTCGAGTCTAGGCTTGCAGTTACAAACGTGTAGTGTTCAACGACAACAATTTTTTGCCATTTTTTTTCACCGAAATTGTCAGTGCATTGTTGCATTTAGATTGACCATGTTTTAGACGATATGTGTTTTCTATTGAAAAGTAGCTAAAAGAACACTGTTAGTTTTCGGTTTGATTTTTATTACTTGCTTTAGAAAATATCGCGTCAGTTGAATAATTTCAAGGCGTAAATAATAAACATCAAGATGCCGGTTTGTTGTTAATTAGAAAATTTGAGGAATCACAGAAATGTGGGGATAAAAGTTTTAAAAAATGCCGATACAATAGCTATATCTGAAAAATGTCGGTTCGTTCGTGAATGTTGGCACACACGGCCTTGGCGTGTAGTTGTAGCTTTTATTGGTGTAAATTGCTCGAAGCGCAAGGGTTTGCGTTGTATACTTTAAACGAAATAATTAATTTCGCCGAAAGCGTATAGAAACACCGCGTGCGATAAGTTTAAAAAAAAAGTGCAACGAAGCAATAGTTACCATACGGTAGAAAATATTACATTCTCATACAATCGGTTGCAGATTAAAAAGAAAATCGATATTTGTAGAGATGCCTGATTTCCAAGCGTAGTAATTACATGTCTATGAATATGCCGACGATGATCGTCATGGTAAAGATGATGAAAGGACATTTTTCCGTTCGAATCTTTGTACTAACTTTGTTTCTCGTAACGTTAATTATTCAATGGACCATTTTTATCGGTGATCTATTTTTTAAATTATTTCATTGATGATTATGCATTGAAACGATGAAGCTGTTCTCTATCATCTTATACCTTTCTGTTTGACAATATTTCATATTTCTCTCGAATCCGTCAATATCTTTCAGATGACTAGTAATTTGCATCTCGATGGAAAATTGCAAAACTCTTGTCCATGTATGAACTTCATTAAAATAACCACATGTTGTTTTGTACATAACGTTACAGTGCTTTCGTAATTTTTTCAAGGCCTGTTTGTGATAAGCTAAATTTGTGCGAGTAAACATGAATGCTCTCTTTGAGACCATTATAAGCGTACTAAATTGATAGTGGCTAATCTTTTATGATGTACTATGGATCTCGCAAGATTTAACTTTTTTCAACACATCGTAAATTTGATGAAGTAGCCTTTCTTTATGATAGTACATATCTCCTCGTATCTCTCTTGGAAGCACTAACTAATAAACTTCTAATGCTCTACTAGCGAGTCAAATGCCCTATCAAGAGCTACTAAAATTAAGATGATACAAATTTAAAGCACTTATCAAACCATGTGAATAAGTACGTGTAGTATGGGCGATTATATTTAATATAATTATAATCTGTCATTGATCAATCATCATCAAAGGGGTAGTAGCTGTAGAGGCTTTTTTAACTTTGAGTGTTGATGTCTCCGGTATATTTTTGATGCAATTGGCTCAGACCAACCTGTTACGGCTTAAATTATTAAAACATCAATCATTTATTAATTCTAGATTTACAATTTAAAAAATAGAGGTTGATGGTCTGTACATTTCTGCGCCACTGATTGCAATTCAAACTTCCCGCCAGATCTCAAGCGTTTCATTGCATGGCTAGTATTTCCCATCAGTCGCTATAGGTGGTGACTACCCTTCGCAGCATGTACAAAATGCTGAAAGAAATATTTAAGGAATTTTCCAAAAAATATTTACAAAACATTCTTTTATACTCTCTTTTATAGAAATATCATCAACACTTTTTAATACAATCACTATTTAGAAAATATTTTAATATTACCACCAATGTGATGTATTGATCAATTTTTATGGTACGTTTTCTTATGCAACACATAAAAATAAAATCTTTTGAATGTACTTTAATTCGCTTCTTGGCACAAATTATTCGTTACTACACGCGGCTGTATTATTTACAAATAATAACACATGCAGTCGATGTACCGAATCGTACATTTTGACACTGTTTACAGATTTCATATTTAATTTAAATAATAGGGCGCGCACGGTATTATTTACTGAAAGAAATATCGAATATTTTGCGAACTACCATGAGATTGAAACAAGACCATGAAAAATAATTTCATAATGGAACGAGTCGTAAGTGTCAGTGTATTATTAGAAAATGTAAAAAATCACGCAGAAAGAGTCACTTAGTTACATCAGCCATTATTAAGCGTAAATTGGTCAGAGTGCATGTCACAGGGCTTCGGGCTATTTATCGACGCTGCACAATAGAATCAACGTTTTCGGAAGCATAAGGAATATTACTGTATGCAAAAAGGAGGGGAAAAATTAACAACGACATAGTTACCATGAATGAGCAAGTAAAAAATAGCTTGGAACATTTTCAGTCGTACATCAGTTTTATCAGTCGGAGGTAAATAACGAATACGTCATACTCGGAAATTCGGCGATTCTGAAAGCAGCCCTGCCCAGCTTTGTTTCCGAGTTTGTGCAAATCGTCGGCTGGCAAGACGATCAGGGAAATACCTTTAATATGGGAGACGAATATGGTAGTTGCCCTTTATTTTTATCGACTTTTACAGCAAGACTCGTTATAATCTCAAAGGGGCAGCGCGGGAGGTCTTTGCAGCTTTTTCCTCGTAACGAAACAATCGAATATCCACGAAGATCTGTTACAACTATTGACATTTGAATAATTTGATGAAAATGTAAAATTAAAAAAAAAAAAAAAAACATTATAATAAACAGAAAAAATGCTGTACGAGAGAAGTACTAGATAAACATACGTACATATGGGCGCAGCGTAAAGAAATTGCATAATCAAGTGCACGATAAATGAAGAAGACTCCGATTTTTGTCTTTGTTCATACGCTGAGGCCCGAAATGAATAAGTGGTAAATTCTAAAATTACTAAATTATTTAATGATGTATTTTTGTTGACCACATACAGGAATCCATAATTGTAAATCGTTGACTCTATAAACGTTGTTGCAATGATCATGGAAATGTAAAAGATCATTTCAATTTTTTTTTCATCAGTCATGTAAACGATGTTTGTAGAAAATTAAAAAGTCGTTTGATTAGTTGTGACGCAGGCCTACCACCCGGAGATAATGACTGAGTATATCATACGCGGCAATTCAGGAGTTTTGCGGTGCAGGTACGATAACTTTTGTCCAAACTACGTTTGTAAATATCAGTAATCATTGATGAAATTTTCATTCATGAAAAAATTTTCCAACGTGATGACGAATCTAAAAAAATAAGTTTAAAATGATTGTTTTTTTTTTTTACTTTACTCACTTTCTGAGTACAGCATACCCAGCTACGTAAGCGAATTCGTGACAGTTGAGGCTTGGATTCGAGAAGACGGCGAGACTTATTTGCCCTCGTTTCAAAATTCTGCGACAGACTCGGGTACATATAGAGTAAAATAATGCTGAAATGCATCAAACGTATCATGCACCTTTTTTTTATTCTGTACACCATAACTGTACTGTTTGTCCGTTCCATTGTTTTCCCGTCCTTCCTAGACCATTTGGAGCTGTATAAATATTCATGGGTATCGGTAAAATTACTCAATTGAATTAATGTTTCTTGTGTATGTGCTGCCACTGATACTTGGTATGAACTGATTTGTTGGCAAGGGCCCGAGCAGTTGTATGTCAGTCTTATGTCACTGAGGCCGAGATCGAGTCAATAAACTAGACAGTTGAGCAAATTTTTTACTTAGTGACGACAAAACTGTAGCACGTAAAAATTCAACGATACATTGATCTCTTTTTTAGTGATAGTATGAAATCGCTTCGAGTTTGCAAGTTTGAAAAAAATACCGTACTAGCAATCTTAAAAGGTTCATTTTTCAGTTGTGGATAGCGTATACAGTGAACACCATTCTCTTTGTAGAATAAATTGTACAGAACGTTTCTATAACGATTCATGCCCGTGGGTGTAAAAGTATGTATATGACGCTACTTTTATCGTTTTTCACATTTTTACTCGTTGGATTTTTTTGTCAACGTCACTGCAACTCATTGTGAAAACGCAATAGATATCCACGAATGACACTCAATGGCGTCGGGAATTCTAAAGTTGGTGCTTTTAAAAAATTTTTTGAGGCAACACGAACTTGTTTAAGCGTACCCGTATCGCTCGTGTGCTCAGCTTCCCCATGAGCCATGCGTAACTCGGCGATCTCATTTTCGATTTTCGAGTCACTTTTTAGCTTTTGTCTATCCTCCATCGGTCACATCTAGTTGATATACCCTTTACGTCCATAAAAATCTGTTGGGACAATTTTACTCGGCCAATACATTTATTTTTACGCTTCTTTTGCAGCAGCGTTAAGAATTTTCCTCAAATACAGTATAGAGTCTTTTTGGTCTGTGAAGAGCCACGCGTTGTGATGATATAAAATCACGTACTGGGAGAGAGCCCCGCTTTGCTGAACAAATAAACGGTACAAGAAAAACAGATCGAGAAAAAAATAATCGTCCAACGGTATCTGAAACAGTGTAAAAAAAAATATTCAAGCGGCTTATGAAAGCTATACGTCTGACCGCACGTATGTTGATACTACTTAAATTGTATGGTATCGATATTGCGGGTGATTCGTCGACTCCTTGGAGCGATACTCGTGGGAGTCGCTTAAGTCTGCGAATTAAAAAAACAAAGTATACACTTGTAACTATATAGAAATAATTTTAAATATAAAGAAAAGTATAGGTGTACATAATTATGTAGTGTACGCTAAAAATTTGCCAATTAACTGTAAATGTATCTTGTACATGTGCTGTCGTTGCTGCTGTTGCTGTAACTACGAAAATATGAACCGGCACACGCGTAGTTGTGTCGCAGTCTTACATTACCGAGGCCGAGAACGAATACGTCATACTAAATAACCACGCGATAGTGAAATGCCGACTGCCGTCCTTTATAAGCGAGTTTATCTACGTCGACCAGTGGGTTGACAACGAAGGCAATATTTACACGACCGGCAGGGAGTATGGTAGGGGTTTTTTTTTTTTTTTCGATTGCACGTCATACCTACTTAGCTGTGACATGCTGCGTTTTGTTTTTCTAACCGGTTTACGGCTGTACTTGCATACTTTCCTTGGTTTTTTTTTTTTCCAATTCTGCTTTCAATAATCAACTAACCATTTCCTTCCTTCAACCGATTTGCGTGAGAGCTAGAACTTGTAAACGTACGTGGTTTTTTTTTTTTTTTTTTTTTTTTTTGTAAATGTCCGTTTAGGCTGCGACAGTTACTGTAGGTCAAGGAAATCATCAATCTGTTACAAAAGTGATTTATACAGGATGAGGGAAAATTGCGTATATACACGTACATATATGACGTTGGGAAAGAAGACAAAGTGGATAATAAAATCGCAAAAAAGATTGTATTATAGATGGTCAAAAAAATCGTAATATTTTATCATCATTAGCAAAAACATACCAAATTGGAGTGATGGAAAAATTGTCACAAAAAACGTTGAGATAAAAATACAGACTTGCTATTTTTTCATCGAATCGGTGCTATTTTTGCAATTGAATGCCAATTAAGGTCGAAAAGTGATTCAAAAATGGCTGACCTGTAAATTTTGTGTATTATATAAATAAAGTATGTTTTTAGGGTAGCTCGTATTTAAAATAAAAACTAGTAGCACATTAAAACCTCTAAGGAGTACTGTACTGTACGTATACTTTTACAAATGGCACTGTGTGAGTATAACGACGTACAGTTTTTTTTTTTTTTTTTTTTTATTTATTTGGGACACTTTTTGTTGATAAAACACACCTGCCACTTGTGGTTAATTGAAAATAAAACTTACAAGTGCAGATAGGAGAAAAAAATCTTGAAACTGACGGATGAAAAAAAAAAAAAAAAAAAAAAAAAATCAAACGAACAAAGCCATCAAAAGTAAGACTTGAATGTGCGATTGTACTTGATTACAGCTGTTTCTCAGTATTTCGAGGTTCAGGTTTACGACGTCTTCGCAATCCGCGGCAATCCGGCCGTGTTCCGGTGTCAAATAGCATCGTTTGTCAATGATTACGTAATTGTGTCCGAGTGGATCAGCTCCAGCAACGAGAGCTTTACCTTCGATAACCAGTCATACGGTACTGCTATTGTAGCACAGCCTCCCTTTTGTACACTCATCCCCGTCTCGAACCTCAAACGAAAACCTTTGTCAGGAGCGCATACGTAGACGAGAGATCGGATTTTTTTGCTCAAAAAAAGAAAAGAGAAACACGATTTGTTGTCTCAGTAAGATTTTTGTCAAAAGTAAAAATTAAACACAAGCTGAAAATTTGCCAAAATGTCTTGTGTTGCAGTTGTCGGGCAGCAATACGCAGTGAACGTCATGGATGAGCACGTCTTGCGCAACAATTTTGCGTTGCTTAAGTGCTTCATCCCTAGCTTCATCGTTGAGTTCGTACAAGTCGACGCTTGGCTCGAAGACGAGACCACGGAAATTTATCCAGGAAACGATTACGGTACTCCGCTCTAGCTAGCCAGTCAGACTCCATATTATACATCTTTCTCTCTTGCTATATATATATATATATATATATATGTAACACACGTTAGAGACGCCAAACGCAGTTTGTCTATACTCGCTCCCATTTTTACTCTGGCACGTATACATTTCACTTTATACATTGTCTTGACCGAGGCTGGATGAGCTTACATCCCAACAACGATCAAACGTGACGAGTCGACTTTTTACATGTTAATTGCTTTTTATTTACGCTGCCCGTGTCATTACTCTCCACCAATTGGTTACGCGTAGTACAAATGTACATCTGGGCTGTCTGAGAAACAGTTGATTTAATCATTTTCATAGTTCATGCATTCCAATAATTTTCATGGCTATTCGGCCCTCGTTTTGTCGATTTACAAATGAAAGTAAGTGTCAATCTGAGCGCATCTTGACGTGCTCGCCATTGCGCCGTCGTACAATCGACAAATAATAACAACAATGATAATGAAAGTAATAATAATCAGGAAAATGAAAAAAAAAAAAAAAAAAAAAAAAACAGACTCGTGGACATTCGATATGCCTCAATTCCATAAGACGTTAACTGCAGCTGCTCGCGCTGTCCCAGGCTTTACGTATATTCAATCATTGTTACGATCTCGCAAAGTGCTCTCCTTCCTCTGATTTTCCTCTTACTCTATTTCCCGCAATAATACGTTCATCTCCAGCTTACCCCTTCCTCACCCATGTAACACTCTTGCTGTTTTTTACATTTTGCAATTTGCATGCGAGTGGCTATATTTTTTACTGTTTATGCAGCTACTAACTACTAAATGCATGACGTTTGGAAATAGCCCTTTGAAGCTTGTACATAAGTACCAAAGTTTCCGTTTTTCGTAAAAAAGTTTTTGGTTTTGAGAATGAAAAAACGGAACTTTGGAAAGTTTATAAAAGTCGATGCATGATTTTTTTTAATTGAAACTTTTCTTCTTTGTTAAGGAATATAAAATGCTTATGTTGATGTTACTTCTCCATCCTGTTATCTAGATGGAAAATATCTCGTGCTTCCATCTGGGGAGCTGCATATTAAAGATGTGGGCCCAGAAGATGGTTACAAAACCTACCAGTGCCGTACTAAACACAGATTGACTGGAGAAACAAGACTATCCGCTACCAAAGGACGACTCGTCATTACTGGTAAATTTTCTACATGATGAATATACTGAATATTCATTTTCAAATATTTCATTATTCATTTAATTTTCTATTCTGGTTGTGAATAGTTTTTTTCCTTTCTTTATAGTTAAAAAGTATCAATAATAAATAAAAATAACAAAATTGGAATTAATCAGAAAACAAGACCAGAATAGAATGACCATACGTAAAAAATTTTAATTTCAAACAATAGTTGAGATTCAATTTTTTATTAACATTCCGCACTTTCACTATAAATTATTTATAAATAACATATAAAGTATTTATTTTATATACATAATACGCAAACCCAAGCTTTATTTTGAACTGGCAAAAATAATTTTATTAGTCATAACAGCGGTTTATTAACGAATTTTTATTGGAAGCGTGTAATCTGCAGAATTAAAATAGTCAATGAGTATTTGTCCTCTAATCGTATGATAAAATATCAGTTTTGTATACTTCCAGTTTTTTCACTCATCAAAATAAAATAATTAGTAAAAATACTTTTATGTTACTCTTCTCTGTCTTACGTACATCTAAAGAATTATTCTTGAATTTGGCCTGTAAATTTGTTTACTCAGTTTTCATTCACATAGCTATAATTAAATTTATAATTGCATATTTTCTTTCAAAATCAAGATTAACTTTAATGAAAATTTTTTACGTATGGTTTACATTTAAAATATAAAATTGGATTATGATAAACTATCTGCGAGATTGTTCAGATAATCTATTTGTTTAAAAGTAAATATTGAAAATGTATTGTCGTGCAAATAAAGACTGCTATTTATATTGTGAACAATATCGCTGATCAAAAAGGTTTTTTTTAATAAAAATAAATTGTAATGTATTCGTTGAACGCGTGACCTTCAGAAGTTATAAATTAACGAGACACAATACAATTCGGTTTTATTAATCCAATTTTATCAATTTACATTTGATGATGTGTGTATGCGTGTATATAAGTATGCACGCAAACATGCGTCTTTATAAACAAATAAACTTGGTTTTACAGAGTTATTTTAAAAGATATTGTAACTTACAGTTTTTTGATTATTTTCATTATCATTAAGTACGTTCTTCATTAGATTTAGTTACATCAATGGTCGCAAAACAAAACCAAGTTTATGACAATGATAAACCTGAATGCTGGGACAGGGTACCCCTGCGGGCACGTACAACATATTGATTTGCGCCACCGGAGAGCATTTTCTTATTAAATTATCCAGCTAACGAGAACTTTTGTCAGAACCATTTGGTGCTCAATTGTAATTTTCTTGATTTTCAAATGATGGCTTTCTTGTTGACTAATTCCCTCGCGTTTCACTTGGAAGTAAAATTAAAAATTTCGCCCCTCCCTCCTCTATTCGGGTCACTCGATTAGAAAAATACGGCTTGGAAAATTAATGCGATACCTTGATGACATGTAGAATTATGTATTACAACTCTCACATCACTTTTTTCGCCCATACAAAAATCATTGAAAATATCTTGATACGATTAACTGTGCAGAACCTGTGGGAAGTGTAAGACCGAAATTTCCAACTTTGGAGAATCTGATTGGACTAACCACCTCTTCAGCTAAAAATTTACGGCTTCTTTGCCCGGGGCAGGGATTTCCAGTCCCGTCTTATAGGTATACAAATTTTAGTTGCAATTACACTGAAAATACCTTCTAATTCTCTAAATAATTCTTAATCTTGCGTCTCTCGCAAAATACAATACGAAAGAGAAAGTAGTGATTAGAGGTATCGCATTATGTAACTCAACGCAATTCACACAAAAGTATTTGGATTTTACCAAAGTCAGGGCTTATAACCGGTAGCAAACGTGCGACCCAAATTCCCCTAACTTCTTTGTCCATGCAGTCCAAGGCTTCCCAGTATAACGATAACTAGGTAGGCCTTCGTGATACACGGGTAGTATACATAACAATGATCAGACCTCAATTTTACGCTTACACTGATGTTGGTCAAGTACATGTAAAATAATCTGAAAAAAAATCGAGCCATGTTAATCATGAAATAAGTACAATCTAGGCTTACAGTGATTCTAATGCCAATCGTACATCATTCTAAGACTTGATTATTTTTTTGTATTATTATTAAAAGGCCGCCTTCTGTATTTGTTCGTAGAGCCTGTCGCTGGTGTTAAACCAAAATTTTCCACGAGCGAGAACTCTCGCACTTACACTAATCGGTTCGGCGAACCCTTGACGCTGTTTTGTCTAGCACAGGCATTTCCTGTTCCAGTTTTCAGGTATTTTCAATTATCAGAATATGATTTATTTATTTTCATACGATACTCCACGTGCAATCGTATGTGGGCACCGTTTCGCCTAAAAAATAACTCAACAGCTATTCGGCTCAGTATTTTTTTTCATTAGTTAAAAACAAAATTTATTTTTTGAAACACGTTTTAACTTTTCCTTCAATGGAACCCAAAATGATGGATATCAGTTAAGGGCTTAAGTAATCGAGATTTGATACTCGATCCAAAAACGTGGTGCCATTATACAACGTAACGAACTCGACGCGTGCCGCCTGTGTCTTCAATATTTTCTAAAATTATCCGCAGAGCCCGTTGGGAGCGCACGTCCGAAATTTCCTACGATGGCCGATTCACAAACGTTTAAAGCTATGCTCAATGGCGCCATGACTCTTCTATGTCCTGCCCAAGGGTTTCCCGTTCCTATGTACAGGTAATTCATACACGCCCAACTAACCGAAATACACTAAAGACTCGGAATTGCATTTATTGACACATTAGAACCAGCCTCGAGCACTCGACCGCAGCTTGCAGGTGGCAGTGATCTTCAACGGTTTACGTCTGCCACGGGCAAATCCGTTACGTTGACCTGTCCTGCGCAAGGATTTCCAGTTCCGCTTTATAGGTAGAAACCCTCTTTGGAGTTGATCGTCAATAATTACAAATCATTGTGGCCATCGCATGTAGTGTAAGTTGTTAGCGTTGCCCAAGGGTCTCCCATCCCAGAGGTTTCACCGTTCATGCGAAACGTTTTTCCACCAGTTTAACTTTTTCGCACTGTAAACTTATAGAACCAGCTTCGAGTACGCGTCCACAGTTGTCTGGTGGCACGGATTTTTTTCGATTCAGTTCAGCATCGGGCAAGAGTGTAACCATTCAGTGCCCAGCTCAAGGATTTCCGGTTCCTCTTTATAGGTAGAACATGCAATCGTACAACTAAGTTGTTCTCCTCCATATGCTCGTACATACTCGATAGTGGTGGTTGTGTTTTGTCCCACGTATTCAGGTTTTGAAACGAATATATATTAGGTATTTTTATTAATTGTTTCGTGGAATGATCGAAAACAGAGCCAGTTTCGAGTACAAGGCCCAAAATAACAACCTTAGACGTAAAATCCACCAACCCCACCAATCAGTTCGGACAGCCCTCGACCTTGATCTGTCCAGTCCAAGGTTTTCCAGTACCTTCTTTCAGGTAATTTGAAAATGAATCATTTACATTAAAATCGGTTTTTTGAAATTTCATTCCTACTGGCCTAAAGACCATCATCACCCAAAGTGGTGACAAAGTGCTCTCAGAGTGTCACTTCTGCTCCAGCTAGGTAGTTAAAGTTATCTTGTCATACGATGTATATTCCTGCGATAGAACCAGCATCCAGTGTCAAGCCAAAATTGTCGAGTTCCGATATAAAGGTTATCATGCCGATTGCCAGTACGTCCGTGGTGTCTCTGGTGTGTCCGGCACAGGGATTCCCCGTTCCAGCAACACGGTTTGTTCATAAAACTCTTTGCAATGCCTAAATTTCAAGGAGCTTTTTCTTTTCCTTTTTTTCATACAGAGCCATCCTCCCATACTAAGCCAAAATTAGCTACCAATCGAAAAGTCGAATTCGTAGACGCATCGGTAGGCGTTTCGACGGACATGATGTGTCCTCTTCAAGGGCATCCCGCTCCTCGTACTAGGTGATTACAAAGGATTCATTTAGCTTTTCCAAAAATATTGCACGTATTAAAGATCAATTGATAAACGCTTTGTTCTCTGGGGTAGCCTTGTCCCGCGAGGGTTGTCTTTGAAAATAAATACTTTAATACGAGCGTTCTTTGCGTAACTTAGAGCCAGTCGCTACAAAGGCACCGAAATTTTTGAATGATGCAAAAAAATCGTGGTACGACAAATCCTCAGGCTCCGACATAACCTTGTTCTGCTTAGCTCAAGGGTTTCCTGTCCCGAGCTACAGGTAACAACGAAATTAAGTATTGAAAAAATATATATATACATACTGACCACATAACATCCCATATCCCGATGAATCTCGATAGAACCAGTATCGACAAAACCGCCAAAATTCTCCAACGATGCCGTACTCGCTTGGTACGTCAAGGTTGCTGGCCGCGACATCACCTTGACTTGTCCCGCTCAAGGGTTCCCAGTCCCTAGCTACAGGTATACTCGTTACGATGTTGTTGATTGTTCTAACGAAACCGAAACTTGTGCTTAATAATGCGATGATAGAACCGGTGGCGACTAAAGCACCAAAGTTTTCGAACGACGCGAAACTAGCCTGGTACGATAAGCCATCCAAACACCCAATAACGCTACTATGTCCAGCCCAAGGGTTTCCCGTGCCATCTTTCAGGTAAAGCGGTCATTCTCCCGCTCTAAGTGCTTTATTTATTTTACCTATTTATACATACACTTTGTGTACGTGCATCGCGCGTGAACAATGCAATGATATCAGAACCCGTGGGAAGCAAGGCTCCCGCTCTGGTGGGAGATCTTAGAGGCGGCTGGATGATGAAAAAAGCCCAGAGCAACATAACCTTACTGTGTTCCGCCCAGGGTCACCCTATCCCCGTATTTAGGTAAATTGGCCAAAACTTTTGGTATTTATCTCTACTATAATTTTTTCTCTTTGCACGCGTTGTTTTTACCTCGTTGTTTGGCAGAGCCCCTTCAAAGTAGAGCGCCCTCTGTTATCGGCGAAAAAGGAAGCCTCATGGAAAGACGAACTAACAATGATATCGTGATTCTGTGCCCAGGACAGGCTTATCCTGTTCCGACATTCAGGTAAACGTGGCGCGATGGAAAATACGTGTACTTACTATCAATCACGAGGACTATGGTCGAATTGCCACGTTTTTACGGGAAAAAGATTTAATTAAACCACTAACACATGTTTAATTAGTCGTCATTGTTGCTAATTCCTTTGTGTGCGTATGTGATTCTTGTAAAGAACCTGTTGGTAGTAAATCGCCGTCAGTTACGGGGGATACGAAAAGATGGATGCAAATAAAAAATTCCCAAGCCTTCGAAATACCGTGTCACGCACAAGGACATCCAGTTCCAGCTTTCAGGTAGAACGTTTAAGTGAGATTGCACATGGAGTTTAATTTTTTTTTGCTCTCTATAAATTGGTGATCTCGTTTTTATTATAATTAAAATAATTATCATCTGATGGGTAGGTGTATAGAAATCAGTTGAAGGAAGTAAATAATTTTTTCTAGAACCTTTGGGAGTAAAGGCGCCAAACTTTCCAACGGATTCTCGTATTAACTCGATTTCGCGGTCGATTAACGAATCCTTGACACTGGTATGTCCCGCTCAGGGCTATCCTGTCCCAATGTTCAGGTAAATTTAACTGTCTCGAAATTTCGATCGAGAAAGTTTCGTTTGTACACAAAATAACAATTACAACTATGATGACCCGATGGATGTATAGGAATCAGGAGGTAAATAATTTTTTTTTTAGAACCTATGGGAGTAAAGGCGCCAAACTTTCCAACGGATTCTCGTAGTAATTCATTTTTGCGGTCGATTAACGAATCATTAACACTGCTTTGTCCCGCTCAGGGCTTTCCTGTCCCAATGTTCAGGTAACTTCCTTTTTGCCTCGATCGGGGAAGTTTTTTTTTTTTTTTTCAACCTACCACTCGAGAAAAAAAGAAATTAGTAATAAGAAAGCCACATGCATTCGCACAATCGCCTGGCACGTGATTATTTTCTTTGAAATATCCTACATAGAACCAGTGAACGGCGCAAAACCTAGAGTGGCATCGACGCAGAAATATGACGTTCTTACGAGTTCGATTAAGTCTCAAGTAGTAATGCTTTGCCAAGCTCAAGGACATCCAGTTCCACATTTCAGGTAGTTTTTTTTTTTTTTTTTTTGAAAAAAAAAAATTTCCAACTACGCAGATATCGGCGTAAATAAAAACACAATCGAAAAGTGGGCGTTGACATATATTGGGTTAACTGAAAAATAATATTCCCAGAACCAGTTAACGGTGCGGCGCCAAAGGTTCCACCGACGGCTAAAATAACGGTTCTCTCGATAAAAATGACGACGACGGTGGCGTTGTTATGCCAAGCCCAGGCTAACCCGATCCCAGTTTTCAGGTAATACAACAAAGCCGAGGCCACACGATTCCTACGTGGCGGGTACAAAAATCGTCAAAACGTCCCGTTGACTTATGTTTTTTAGAGCCGCTTGGCAGTAGTCCGCCTCGTTTACCGCCCAGATCGAAATTCGACGGAATCATTAGGCCGATCGGGACTCGGGTGGCTTTGCTCTGCGAAGCCCAGTCCAGCCCGGCACCGCTTTATAGGTTCGCCGACATGATATTTACTTTCGACCACAATGTTCTAATGAGCACACCAAAAGAACCCACTCCCAGCATTTAGGACGGCACCTTTTTTTTGAATAAATGAGCTTCTGGCGTGTACATTGAATTTCGTTCCTTACGTGATGTATGTATAGAACCACTGGGCGGCAGCCCTCCGCGTTTACCGCCGAGGTCGAAGCTGGGCGAGGTGACGAAAGCGTTCGGACAAATGATAACGATGTTGTGCGAAGCGCAGTCCAGTCCTCCCCCGCTCTACAGGTGAGAAAGAGCCGTGCATCTCGTGATTGGCGTAAAAAAAGGCTTTCTTGTTAAATTTCTCGTTAGTGGGGAAAATCGCACTGCGAGTACCCGTTCCCAGCATTAATTATAGTTAGAGAGTAAATTGCAATAGGAAAAACATTTGTCAGAGCCCAGAACGGGAATGCCGCCCAATGTCAAGGACAAGGATTTCAACGGCATGAAGAGATCGGTAGGGGCCGGCAATACGGTCGGTTTGCTTTGTCCCGTGCAGGGTTTCCCGTCTCCTGCATTCAGGTATACTGGGTCGATCATGTTAAATTTTTTTTTTTTTTTTTTTCCCATTAAATGTAAATTTTCGTTGTTGTGGTTCCCTCATTGATGCCCAAAAACACGTAGAGCCAAACAGTAACGTGGCGCCTCGAATCGCCGGCGAGCGCTACGAGGGTGGCCGTCTGCTGAGCGTCAAGCAAACTAGTATCGTGGCCCTGATGTGCGCGGTCCAGGGCTCGCCGGTGCCCATCCAAAGGTACTGCACGATCGTCACTGCAATCCACTGGATTCGCTTTCTTTTTTTGACCGCTTTGGAGCCGAGTTTTTGCAGATATACTTTCTAGAAGTCAACGCACGAGTTTTTGGCCACATCCGTTCTTCAGTTCGGTGTGCGATCGTCCCTTTTTGCATTTAGATGCTTTTACGTCGCTAAACAACAATTTTGATTTATGTAGATGTCATCTTCATTAGCAGCTGAATTTTAGTGTTGGCTGTGGGGCCTTGAAATCGCACGTGTTTGTGAGTCATTTTTACCGAGGATAGGATTTATGTCATATTAAATGGAATTTCTTCTTTTTTGTTCCAAAATTGATTAGAAGAAGGTTTTTTTTTTTTTTTTTCTTTTTCTCTTTCTCATTGAAACATACAGAAGACTAGCGATGCTTGGGATATTTTTGAGACGCACTTTCGAAAAAGAAAAAAAAAAAAATGTAACAACCGCGATGAGGATATAAGACGAGTCAGTTGGTTCTCGTCGTTGCAGATCCCGCTAGTAACGTTGCTCCGCGATACGCAGGAGAACGTTATGAGGGCTGGAAAATAGTTGAGGTGCCTATTTTTAATACCGTAGCCGTGAGTTGCGCCGTACAAGGTTCGCCCGTGCCGATCACAAGGTATGTTCGAACATGTTGGGTTTTTCCAAGTGCAATGACGAAATTGTCGGACAAATGGAATCTAACCATTTTTTTTTTTTTTTTTTTTTGCCGAAAAACCCAATCTCTTTTCGATAACATCCAGAAAAATAGACAATCGTGGTAATTAAGCATTAAAGTGTGAAACTCGAATTGATTTCTTAATTTTTTGATCGGTAGAAATATTATCCAACAAATTAATATTTTATTAGCCTTTGAGAACAAGATATGAATTAAAAAATTTATAAAAATGTGTAACGTAATCGTAAAAGATAAATAAGTACATGTATCATTTTAACATTTTCTTTTTTGTTTAATCTTGAAAAAAATATAATAAAACAAAATAAAGTAACGTAGTATAATTTTGACGGGTTGAAGTTTAAAAAAAATTGAGCTTAATTTAATAAAAAGTTTCTAGTTCAATAAACAACCGATGAGTCAGTGTCGATTGGTTTCCTGTGAAACCGTTTCACAGTCCTTGTTCACTCGAGGTGGATGGTGTCATGGCTTATTTTTGCTATATTTTTTTACACACAATACACAATTTTTATTTATTCACATGGAGAAAATATTACTTATTTTACCGATATTTATTTATTTATACCAATATATTGTTTTCTTCCAGAAATAAAGTAAATCCAGAATTTTATTTTCTCCATGCGAATAAATAAAAAAAATTCATCATTATTCTTTGATTCGAAAAAAAAAAAAATTAAAATTCCAAAAAAACTGAATGTAACATTATACCTGTTGACATTTTCAATCACTCAAATAGTTTTGAAAACTCACGTATGAATTTTCACATTATAATAAACGTGGCAACCATTTGCTCGACGAAGTTAAATAACGATCTTTAACCGTGGATCAACTACAAACATTGTTCAACGCGTCGGGTTGAGTAAAAGATCAAAGCATAATTTCTGTCGCTCGCACGCTAACCAATACCACTAAAAGCTTGAACAATCAATTGTAAACTGGTATGAAAAAAGTGGTATTGATGAGCGTTGTAGTAGAGCGTCACACACATACCCGAGCTGGTCGAAACGTTCAGTCCTTAACCGCCTCCCCGATTGTGCTTGCAGATGGTACAAGTTCATCGACGGCACGACCCGTCGTCAGCCAGTGCAGCTAAACGAGCGCGTGCGCCAAGTGAGCGGCACCCTGATCATCCTCGAGGCCCAAGTCGAGGACTCGGGCAAGTACCTCTGCGTCGTCAACAACTCGGTGGGCGGTGAGAGCGTCGAGACCGTGCTCACTGTAACCGCGCCCCTCTCGGCCGAGATCGAGCCCAGGAGCCAGACCATCGACTTTGGCAGGCCCGCCACCTTCACCTGCAACGTCAAGGGCAACCCCATCAAGACCATCTCTTGGCTCAAGGACGGCAAGCCCCTCGGCCACGAGGAGGAAGTCCTTAGGATCGAGAGCGTCAAGAAGGACGACAAGGGCATGTACCAGTGCTTCGTGCGCAACGACCAGGAGAGCGCCCAAGCCAGCGCCGAGCTCAAGCTTGGCGGACGATGTGAGTGTACATGTACCTTATACTTTAGCGTTATACTTTTCAAATGTGGCCGTAATGTACGCGATTGGCGTTATTTCGTTTCCAGTCGAGCCACCCCAGATACGCTCGGCCTTCCACGAGGAGACCCTGCAGCCGGGGCCCAGCGTCTTCCTGAAGTGCATCGCCAGTGGGAACCCCACGCCCGAAATCACCTGGGAGCTGGACGGGAAAAAGTTGTCCAACACCGAGCGCTTCCAAGTCGGCCAGTACGTGACGGTGAACGGCGACGTGGTGTCAAACCTCAACATCTCGAGCATCCACACCAACGACGGTGGCCTCTACAAGTGCATCGCTTCCTCCAAGGTACGGTTATTTAGCGGCTAGTTGTAACTTGCCACGTGACTCGCCTTCGTGTGTCTTTTTGTCGTAGGTCGGCTCAGCCGAGCACTCGGCGCGCCTTAACGTGTACGGGCTGCCGTTCATCCGGCACATGGACAAGAAAGCCATAGTGGCCGGGGAGACGCTGCGGGTCACCTGTCCCGTGGCCGGTCACCCCATCGAGAGCATCGTCTGGGAGCGGGACACCAGGGTCCTGCCCATCAATCGCAAGCAGAAGGTCTTCCCCAACGGGACCCTCATCATCGAGAACGTCGAGCGAATGACCGACCAGGCCACTTACACCTGCGTCGCTCGCAACGCCCAAGGATACAGCGCACGGGGCACCCTCGAGGTTCAAGTCATGGGTGAGTCTCGACTTTTGTCCTCGTCCCTTTATCTTCGATTACAGTTTAACCGCGATAAAGAACAATAAATGGAATTTCATTTTTTTCAACTTTGATGAATATTCGAGATAATTCTTTTTTTTTTCAACTTGCCGTTTTGGATGTATATATATTTTTTTTCAAGTAATTCATGATTACTTCATCGTAAGAAAACTTTTACGAAATTCGTACGATTACTGTATATAAGTATATTATAAGTAACAAGGTATAAATCAGTACATAGTACTTTATAGAAGAAGAAAAATTTGCACAGTGACTACCTTGGATATGCGTAGTCACGTGCAAGATACTCTTAGATGATAAATTTTCAGGTACGACGAGACAGCTGTTGATTAAATGATTTTTTTTTTTTTTTCGTCTCTTCCACCACACCGTCTTGTATAGCAATTATGAACGACATGATGAGAGCTAGGTTTCATATTGCGGATTAAGAGAATGTGAGGTGCCAGCGGAAACGAGTCGTTTCTACACCTGTATGTACAGTCAAATTAGGATTTTAAGCTAATAACGACGATTCACACGCAAATTGAAAAAAAAAAAAAAAAAAAAAAGAAAACAAAAAAACACAGCCACAAACTATACTTACACTGGCTTAGATCCACGGAAATCATCGAAAACCATAAACACGTCCATTTGAATCACCCTCGATCGATATGATGCTCTAAAATAGTTTTACGCTTTGCGACCAGTCAATCGCACATATAGAACAATCATGACATACATAATGGTTTATCCGTACAATTACGCTTTCAAGTCATTTGCCACAGATAACGAATCAAATGCGACGTATTAGTCATCTCATATAACGCTCATCTCGAGTGTATCTGCACTTGTCTGCTTTTAACCATGTTTTCCCCATGAAATATTTATCGTGCATAACATGCCACCATCACATGATTCTCGTCAATCACCACTAATGTTTAATCTGGTGTAACCTTCGATCGACCTTATAACGAAAAAATGAATAACCTCGTGTTGCAGTGCAGATTATATAATTACAATAGGTGCACATCCATTCATTTGCTTTGCGCAGGAAACGCAGCAGTTATAACGCAAGCTTGCCGCAAATCAACGGTTATCGCGTCGCAATTATTTTACCAGGGTTGCAAATAACTGTATAAACTTTTTATTTAATTGCACGTTAATCGCCGTTTACCTTTAATTTTGTGCCAACTTGTAATCATATATCAAATTTGTAATTTGGTATTGGACACGTTTCAATCGCCAATCCCGAGTACTAAAACGAATCGGCATAAAGTTACTCAAGTAATGGGCGAATCAACGTTTTTGCAACCCTAAAATGCTTTACATACCGATCACATGATGTTCCGTAGTAAAACACACGTTAGCTATTGTATACCCATACGTACCCCAATCATCAGACAGATAAAAAGTGGAATAACGATATCGGTGATAAACCCAACCCCGACAGAGTTGCCGACGATACAGCCGTTCTCGTTCACGAAGTTGCCGATGAAAGCCGGCGAGTTCGCCAACCTGCAGTGCATTGTCCCGTCGGGCGACTTGCCGCTCAAGATACGCTGGACGTATCCGGGCCAGGAGATCGGCGGCACCTCGGGCGTGCTGGTGAAAAAGGTCGCCGATCGGGTCAGCATGCTCATGATCACCTCCATAACGGCCAAGCACTCGGGCTCTTACGTGTGCACGGCCGAAAACGCGGCTGGTCTCAGCTCGTACACCACCTCGCTCGTGGTCAACGGTTCGACACCCCTACTCGTCTCTCTCTCTTTTCCTTCGCTATTCTCGTAGTTTTTGTTTGAGCTCGTGCTCGACTTTTTTATTTTTTACTTTCATATCCCCCCCCCCCAACCCACAACTCCGTCTATCTCTAGTCTCCCAAAAAAAAAACACGATTCCCTGTTCGCCCGCTGCTGTAGGGATTAAACAAACGCAGTTATCAAGCCACGGAGTCGTTTTGCCAATTTGACGTTCCATTGTTCCGGTGCCGCTACTTGCACTCGACCTGGTTAACTCTTATAATCTTCGATTGCCGCTCTCGCTCTCTCCAACCCCCTCAAAGACTCCTTTGTCGTTTAGCTCAAACAACCGCTGCTATACGTCCTCAAGTGAGACTCTTCCGAATGAAAAACAGTAGAGTGCACTTGAAACGCTCGTTCCCTTTTTCCGTTCGGTGTCAAATACGTTGTCGATCCGCACAACCACCCAACCCAAAAAACGGCAAAACAGCACGATCGGTATGAAATCCGTTCCAACGAGTCCACTTATGATTCAAGTTTATACTATTTTTCTTTGTTGTAAATTTAATTGAGTTACGTGAAATGAGAAATATTGCCAACAGTCGCGCCTCAAATATTGCCCTTCACGTTCGGCGAGGAGCCAGCCAATTGGGGCGACCTGATGTCGGTGACTTGCTCGGTAATCCATGGATTTTTATTTTTAGTTCTTTTATTTTATTTTCTTAACAATTCCACAGAAGAATCACTTATCCATATATATATCCGTCATGTGCACGAAACGTAGATAATAAAAGGTGATCTCCCGATTGAAATATCGTGGGCGTTCAACGACGTGTTGTTGAAGGATAACGCGGCGCAAACTCACGATGTACTAGTGGCCAGTACGAATAAGAAAAATAGCGTCCTTAGCATCGAGTCCGTGACAGCGAGACACGCGGGTTTGTACACGTGCCACGCGTCGAATAAAGCTGGAACGGCGAGTTACTCTTCGGAGCTCAAGGTCAACGGTACGTTCGTGCAATTAATTGTGCGTACATGGCTGGCGTTATTCACACAACATACCGTCCACATTCCTGTAATCTAATTGATAATCTCACCCAAATCAAATTACCCGATTGTCAGGAAAACTGCTTGAATCGATTGTTGGTGCACTTCATCCGATACTTTTGACGATTGTACTTGCCTTTTTTCAGTTGCAGATTTATCTCACCAGATAAACACAAATTCACATTTCGACGGTATTTCACCAATTGCTGCAGAGTAGAGTGATTATGCCCTTAGATTTTGACTATCACATATGACTTGTTAAAACGAGTATATACCAATAACGACGACTGCATGATGACATTGATCGTTATTGGTCGGTATAATTCATTGTAATATGGGTGTTGTTTGTTTAATAATTATTTTAATATTCACGAATTTTATTAGTATACAAAACTATATTTGACCGAACTAGGATTTACTTCAGAGTCAGAAGTTGTTCAATAAAAGCCGTAGATAATAGGACACGTGAAGTATGACCCGTAGTAGAGCTTTATACACGCGTATAAGTTTGTTGATGGACCTGAGTATACAAATAGCATGTTTCGTACGAAATTGAAAATAAAATAATTTTTTGCAACAACAGTTGCCCCGCAAATTGCTGCTTTCACCTTTGGCGACGATCCATTGAACGCGGGCGCGGATATCGCTTCTGTAACATGTGCCGTGACTGGTGATCTGCCCATGACCATCAATTGGCTGTTCCAAAACGAACCGATTGACGAAAAACGCACTGACCTTGTCATATCGAATCTTGGGAAACGTGGAAAACAGTTGAGCATCGAATCCGTTGGAGCAGCCCATTCGGGGGTGTACACGTGCCAAGCGGAAAATATCGCGGGCTCGACGACTCGCTCGGCTGTCTTGAACGTCAATGGTACCTCTGAGTGATCGAATGATGACCCAATTGTAGCTTGTCCGTGTTATTTGTTGCCATTTTTCATTTCCCTTTTCACTGAAACCACCAACCTTTTCATCCCAATACTTGGAAACTCTTCGGTGATTTCGATTATCTATCACTTTTAACAATCAAATGTTGTATCTTCGCGTAAAACCTAGGTACGGATATTTAAAAAAAAATAAAGAAAAACACGTTTTTCCTAATACTACACAATTTACACGCTAATAGTTAAATGTAAAAATACTTGTTTTTCATACGATTCACACAAATGTATTAGGCGTACTATGGTAGGGATGTATATAAATGACAGGTAGTTGTAAAATTAAGCAAGGATGAAGGTCATGACCTGAAACTCTCGAGGGAAGAAATGTTACCTCTTAAAAATCGTTTTTTCCCTGCTCTCTAAAACACACAAGTCGCACCACAAATCGTCCCGTTCACGTTGGGCGAGGGCCCGGTAAACTCTTGGGAATCCATATCGACCATTTGTACCGTGTCACGTGGGGATCCGAAATTGGAGTTTTCCTGGTTTTTCAACGGTGAACCATTATCGGCTAGCGAGAGACCGGATCTATCGATAACGGGGAGCAAGCGCAGAAGCGTACTGGAGATCGAGGCGATCAGCGCTAACCACGCTGGAACGTATACGTGCGAGGTAACGACCCAGAGCGCTTGAGCTTATATCTAACAAAAAAAAAACAACAAAAAATTCAATTTTTATATTTTAATGTCACCTTTACTCATGTTTGCATACGTATAATGCGTCGATTCGCTCCTTTCTCGTCCGAAAGGTGTCCAATGAGGCCGGTAGCGCGAGCCACAGTGCCGTGCTCGCTGTTAATGGTAATGATGATTATTAAAACTATGATCATGCATAAACTAGCATGAGATTCACGTGACCACCCTCCTTCGTCAAAATTTTACCACTTCTTGTTATTGTCTTGATAAAGATTTTCGTTACATGCTGCTGCGCTCGTTAACTTACACGGCACGCCATGTGCTTAAGATAAAATGTTCCAGTCCGCAATGTTTGTACACGCGCGATAACTCTCTCTTTCATCACCTAACAAAATCTGGCTCACTCGATTCGCTTGCACTGACAATCATAACAATAATGGTAACAACAATGAGCTTTCGCACAATCTTCAATTACTCGCCCAGGTGTAACGTATGGAAGTAACTGCTTAAATACATGATGTATGTGCATCGTTATTAATGACACAGAACACAAATCGATTGCCTCACTTGATTGGGTGTTTTCTTATCTTGTTACACGGTGCTGTTGTACTTATTCGACA